TTTTCCAAGGCTTGTGATGTTTTCTCCTCCCACTGTCGAATTCTTCTGCATGATTGACATCAACAAGAAAATTAATTGTTTGACAAATAAGAAACGATGATTTAAAACTCGTAATATAACTCAAAAGAATGTTGTAAGTGTAGAGCAGAAGCATAACAGGTTACACACAGAGAGGAAACTTTACTGCTGCCTATTGCTTAACTTTTCTCTCTATGGGTGAAATGAACTTAAAACAGTCGAGTTATTGGAGCGAATGTGTATGTACCAGACTGTCGATCAGGTATGAACATTAACCAAACGCGACTGATTCATTATATAGCTGTATATACATTTTTCATGTGTCTGTTACAGATTTCAAAGTTCATTTTAAGCATTCTTATGTACTTGTTTTCGTTGTGTAGTAGTTACCTTCTTTTCAGGCTCTCCTAGTGTCGGAAGGCCATAATGAACAATGTATTCAGCATCAACAACTCCAATATTTTGAGTTCTGTCTCCCTATCACAAAAATGAACCAACAACTCATGACTGTAACTCAAACGAGCTATCGATACAACAGACGAAAAATAAATGCTCTGTCTCAAATCTAAGAACTACCTGTGCACAGTAACCAAGCTGAATGTCTAAACCCCAAGCATGGATCAAGTCATTCTGCGAAACAACGATAGAAGGAATAAGAGGTAAATATCAATTACCCCTTCTGTTTCAATTCGGTTGTCTGATTTTGACTTTGCACGGAGTTTAAGAAAGTAAAGAAGACTTTTGAATCTTGTGGTCTTAAACTAAAGAAAGGAAAGAGTAACTTTATTTCAACGACCAAATTTTAACAGTTAAATATATGTAATGCAGATATAGCATGACATATATAGTTGTTACTGACAATATAGTGTTTCTAAAAAGGAAAAACCTGGATCATATACCAGACGCAGCGCCAGGCAGCGTTGGAAAACACAGGAGCCATTACTTCTATCCACCTGCAACATCAGAGACTCCTTATGAGTTACGCGAAATAATTGAGTTTCTATCATTTCCGGGGAGAAAAAGAAGTTACTACTGTAACAATTCGTAGTTATTTCCCATGAAGATATCCGCGACAAGGCATAAAACAAAATTAAGTTACCCTGTACAAGGAGGAGCCATACTGGTATAGTCACATCGAGTGCCAGTATCGCCAGCCTTATAAGTCCTTCTGCAATGTAATGTGTTAATCAAGTTTCAACTTCAAAATCTATGGCCAAACAGGAGCTTAAGACGGAAAATTGTTGATAAGAACCTGTGCACTCGTGATCTCCTCCCGCGAGCAGTAATCTGATGATGCACCTCTGATTTTCCCATATCTAGAGCTGGTTGTGAAATCTCAAGACCTTCATCTCTCACAATAGATATGTATCTACAAGGATGATGTAAGTCGGGTTCAGTAAATGAAGAACATCGATTAAAATGCTTCGTATCTATTTTTAGTTCCGTCTTCTAATCTCTTGTATATGAGCTCCTCTCCTTACAGTCAAGTGGCTTCAACTCTTTAACATAAAAAGCCTGAACTACAGTGTAACTTTCGTCTCTGATAGGTGTCTTTTTCAAGACCAAAAGACGGGATATCCTTGGGAGTGGATCATAGTTCAGATGGAACTCCTCGAGTACTCCCTCCGTTTCAATTTGTTTGTCTGATTATGACTTGACACGGAGTTCAAGAAAATAAATGAGACTTTTGAATCTTGTGATCTTAAACATGTCATGTGGAAAGTTAGAACTAAAGAGTTGTCAAAAAGGGAAAAAAGAGACGTTCTTTTTGAAACAAACTAAAAAGGAAAGTATATCAACTTTCACATACCGTTTTGGGTTGAAATTTTCAACTCCGAGGTCTTCATCCCAGAGGAAGATATAACTGTACTCAGCAACTATATCTGGATGTAAAAATCTCTTTGCAAACCACCTGTTATTTTCATAACATCGCGAAAAATGTCAAGAGAGTTTTGATCCAAGCACAAGACGTTTCTAGACTAAAGCAACTCCGTTTTGAGATGCAAATAGAAACTGTACCATTTTGTTTGATTCAAAGCTGAGATGTGTATTACACTGTTACTCCATTTAAAAGTCCTCCATCCATCGACATTACCATCGTAGTGAAAAAGCATCACCACGAAATCACTTGATAGAAACTACGAACCAATTCAATAAACGAACTTATGGTAACTCTGTATTTCATAAAAATAAGCAAAGGTAACAGAACACACACACCTTTAGTACCATCTTGTTTACTGTTTCCTTTTGCTTTATCCCAACAGCTGCAGCAAATAAGTACTTTGAAGGCACTTTTTTCTGTTAAAAAACCAAAACATGTTAGTAGCATACGCCTTCGATTTCAATTTGCTTGTCTTACTTTTCTTTTTCAACAGGTAAGTTCAAGTCTGCATTTAGAATTTGTGAGGAACGCGGAGAAGATGGATATGAAAATAACCTCTGGATAACCCCATAATGGCCGTCTTTCAAAGTTAGAGGTCTTGGCGATGATACCTTCAGGTAATGTCTCACTTCCATTAGGCCTGCATTGATTCTAAAATGGATGACACAAATTATTTACGCGAAGAATATAATCAAGGTACTCAGAAACCAATGAATAAAAGAAGAACAAACCTCACATGATCTTCCTCCTTTCCACCGAGAACTTCTCTGCATAATAGAGTTCTTATGATTATCATCCATTCACATTGTGCATCACTTGAGCAACAATTTACACAGAACTCAAAAATACACCAACTTTCCTTTTTAGTCTGTTTCAAAAACATGTTTTTTTCCGTTTCTGACAACTCTTCAATTTCAACTTTCCACATGACATGTTTAAAACCACAAGACATATCCAAAACCAGACAAACAAATTGAAATAGAGGGTGAAACTTAGTTTTTACTCGCAAAACTTCAACATTTTTTCAAGTGATTCATGTCCAAACACAAACGAAACAAGTACTCCTTTTCGACTTCAACTTCAAAAACTCATTTTTTTCCAACTTCAACCAAATATATATGTTCAAACGGGGAACGTCAAGCAGGGGATGTTCCATAAACTACAGAAGAGGTCAAGAGAATACGACATGTACCTGATTATCATTTTCTGTAAAGTCGTTCCCTAACAAGAGAATCAAACACAAAAACGAAGCTGTAGGAAAGATCGCGTAGAAACATGACCTTCTGATTTTTGGATCTTTGAGTAGTGACACCTGAAAATACAAAAGAAAGAGTCTCATTTAGCACATTGAACTGAACATTGCAAACAAACAACAAGCTGATTTTTTACTTGTCCATAACCAAAAGTCATGTATTGCTATAAGCTATGTTGCTTGGACTCCTCAGAAATGATGTCTGGTGCGTGTCTGATCCTCTCCAAAAGTAGTGTATTTTTTAAGGATCTGACACGGGTGTAGAAGCATTTTTCGGAGAGTCCGAGCAACATAGGATACAAGATCATATCTGTTTTGCATTACTCTAAGGGAAAACTCTCTAAAAAAAATAACATGAAACATCAAGATAGTGACTTTCTTCTTTGACAACCAAGTAATCCCCGTTAACGAAAAAATATGATAAGAAAATCAGAACATTATATACAACAACTCACTTCCCCGTATCAATGGCTTACACAAAAACTACTCATGGAGTCGAACTCGAATCAAGTATATAACCAACCGTCAAGGGCAGAGCCAAGTGAGAGCAAGGAGGTTCGATGGGAAATTACACTATATATACAATGTTAAGATTGTTTTTATTAATTAACATTAAATTTGAAGTATATATTGAATGACTTCTTCAAATTTTGAAGTCATTAATGAAATTTCTGACTCCGCCACTGTCAATAGAATCTAGCATTCTCGACATAGAAAAATGCTAAATTTTTATACAAACATTAAATTTGGAACCCATAAATTTTAAAAGTACAAATATTTTCAATCAAAAGAACATGAACTCATCATATTCAAATCAAACAACATTGCATGAACTTAACTATTAATCAATGCTAAACAGATGCAAATACTACTACAACAACAAAAACAACAACGTATCCCCGTAAGTGGGGTCTGGAGAGCGTGATGTGTACAACGTACAACACCTACAAGATAGAAAGATTGTTTCTGATAGACTCCTACATACAAATACATTGAAATAAAAAAGAAAAAAGACTTACAAATGGCCTCATGTTCTTTGAAACAAACAAGAATAATCAACTTGCTGCCTTTGCCTTTTTTTTCATGGATTCAACATTTTTTTTATAATAAAGAAAGCATTTTTTTCAGAAAGCAAATAAAAAAAAGGGTATTTTTCAAGATTCAACCTTTTTTCAAAATTTGAGAAGAAAAAGAAGAATTGTTAGAGAAAACAATAAGATGGGGAAATTGTAGGGAAAAGAAACTGAGTCAATTTTTCAATGATGCCTATAGTGGGGGGATGTTGTGGAAGATATTGCGCGGTTTTCAACTACCAATATTTACACACAAAAATAATATGAGAATTAATAAAAAAAATATATTTCATGTATACCTTATTTTATTTTGATATTATAAAAATATTATGTATGTATTTTATGTCAAAGGAAAAAAGTCAATACATTTTTTAAAATTGACTAGTAAATAAATAAAAGGGAAAAATGACAAATATACCCTCAAACTATCGTAAATGGTAAGCAGATACCCTCCGTCATACTTTTGGGACATTGGTGCTTTGCCGTCCAAAAACTAGAGCATATATGCCCTTCATTCTAACGGAAGACTAAATAGCGACACGTGATGCAATTTTATCTGTCGATAAATGTCGGATCGTTGGATAAGATTATGACACGTGTATGTCCGTTAGTATAAAGGGTATATATACTCTAGTTTTTGGACAGCAGAGGCACCAATGTCCCAAAAATATGACGAAGTGTATTTACATACCATTTACGATAGTTCGAAATATATTTTTCCGTAAATAAAAAGAAGGAATGAATGGGATTTAAATTGGTTGGGAAAAAGAAATTTTAGTTGTTGTGATGTGTAAATGTGGACGCTTGTTCAAACGCCTCCTCTTCCATCTCCTCCATGTGGTGTGCAAAATCCTTATTCATCATACCGTCGCCGTCGCATCTCAATCGCGTTTGGCCATTCTACTGGTAATAGTAAGAGTATCAACTCCATTTCGCGTTGTAATTACAACGATTCTATACAATCATTTTGCAAAAAAGGACAGCTCAAAGAAGCCCTTCAACTCCTCTCTCAAGAACCCAATCCCACTCAACATACCTACGAGCTGCTCATCCTCTCCTGCTCTGAAAAACACTCATTCTATGATGCTTTAACTGTTCACCGTAAACTTATTGATGATGGGTTCGAACAAGATTCATTTTTGGCTACTAAACTCATTAATATGTTCTCTAATTTCGACTCTATTGACCATGCCCGCCAAGTGTTTGATAAAATTTACAACCGAACCATATTCCTTTGGAATGCGTTTTTCAGGGCATTGACATTAGCTGGAAATGGTGTCGAGGTTTTGGACTTGTATAGACATATGAATGCAATCGGAATCCAATCTGATAGGTTCACTTATACATATGTCCTCAAGGCTTGTGTTGTTGCCTCTATACCAAACCATAAGGAAATTCACGCCCATATATTCAGACATGGTTATGAGACACATATACATATTATGACTACCTTAATTGATGTATATGCTAGGTTTGGTTCCGTACAGAATGCAACTTGTGTCTTCTCTCAAATGCCACAGAAAAATATGGTTTCTTGGAGCGCAATGATTGCTTGTTATGCAAAGAACGGAAAACCTCTTGAAGCATTCGACGTTTTTCGTGATATGATGACCCATGTTTTGTTACCAAACTCAGTGACAATGGTTAGTGTTGTTCAAGCTTGTGCAGCACTGGGTGCACTAGAGCAAGGGAAGCTTTTACATGGATATGTAGTAAGAAAAGGGCTTGACTCTATTTTGCCTGTTCTCAGTGCCCTTGTGACAATGTATGCAAGATGTGGTGCTTTAGAATTGGGACGAAGAGTGTTTGATCAGATGGGAAAGCGGGATGTTGTTGCATGGAATTCCATGATTTCAAGCTATGGAATACATGGATTTGGGGCCAAAGCAATTGAAACTTTTAGAGAAATGATTCGACATGGAGTGTCACCAAGTCCAATATCATTTGTTAGTGTATTGGGAGCTTGTAGTCATGCAGGGCTTGTTGAGGAGGGGAAACAATTATTTGATTCAATGTGGAAAGAACATAAAATCTACCCTAGTGTGGAACACTACGCTTGTATGGTTGATCTTCTTGGAAGAGCCAATCAGTTGGAAGAAGCAGCTATAATCATTCAAGATATGCGGATTGAACCAGGACCCAAAGTTTGGGGTTCTCTTCTTGGATCATGTAGGATTCATTGTAATGTTGAACTTGCAGAGAGGGCAAGTAGAAGGTTATTCGAGCTTGAACCCACAAATGCTGGGAACTATGTACTTTTGGCTGATATTTATGCAGAAGCTAAGATGTGGGATGAGGTTAAACAAGTAAGGAAGCTTTTGGAGGCCAAGGGATTGCGGAAAGTGTCTGGTTGCAGCATGATTGAAGTAAAGAGGAAAATCTACTCTCTCCAGTCAGTTGATGAAATTAACATCCAAATTGAGCAAATTCATGCCTTGTTGCTAAAACTATCAATGGAGATGAAACAGAATGGGATGTATGTCCCAGATACCAGAATTGTGCTGTATGATCTTGAAGAAGAGGAGAAAGAACGTATTTTGTTGGGTCACAGTGAGAAATTAGCAGTTGCTTTTGGCTTGATTAATAGCAGCAAAGGAGATCCTATAAGGATTAGTAAGAACTTGAGGTTATGTGAGGACTGCCACTCATTCACCAAGCTCGTTTCAAAATATACAAACAGAGAAATTCTAGTCAGAGACATCAATCGATTTCATCATTTCACCAATGGGGTTTGTTCATGTGGAGATTATTGGTAGACTTGTTCTCTTTCCTCTAACAAAGCCACCTTGCATAAACTCTATTCCGTTTTATGTATTATCCGTTAAGTTTTCGTTTTGTGAACACTCTTATCGTTTGGTTTGAATACAAGTTATGCTGGGAAATGTAGCATCCTCGCAAGTTAGTTTTGAAGCTTCACTAGATGTACATCCTCCATGGACCTGATTCTGATGCAACAGTTACAGGTAACTTTAGACATCCTTTCAACTGATGCAGACTCAGACAAACAGAGGCACCAGCAGGATATACTTCTAATTGTGCAAGTTCTCTAAACAACTATGTTTGATCAGTAGAAATACTCTAAAAAACGTTCAATTGACTACCCTTTGGTCTATGTAGCTCCACGACTAGCCTATATGATTGAAGACAGGGGAATGTTGGAACAGAACTTGTCTTTTAATTTTTAGTGTGTGTACTGTCAGTTGATGATTAACTGTGTTTAGATCTTACGAGCAGATAGTCGCGATCAAACAACTTAATCTCGAAGGCCTTCAAGGGAACCAAGAATTTGTTGTGGAGGTACTTATGTTGATTTTAATGCATCATAACAATCTTGTGATACTGCACTCATGGAGAACAGAGGTTGTTGGTTTACGAGTTCATATAGCGCGATAGTTTTCTATCATAGTGATTAGTTTCTCTTAAAGAGCAATTCGTTCAGAACTCAGTTGACTTCTATTGTTCTTTATATTACACATCCTTTTATTTTTGTCCTCTAAGAAGTCTTATATTCAATTGATTTGTTGCAAAAATAGCCAAAAAGGAATGACTATTTCACTAGAAGCATTGGCTATGAGTGGAGGTGATTATATTAACTGCAAACCACCTCTAAATGCAATACAACTGCCACTAAATTTAGCATTTTGATTCAACAAGATTCTTGGCGGAAGGGGAAGAACCTTACTACACTATAAGTCGTTGAATCAGTGAGAAAGGGAAAAAAGAGAAGATCAATTTTCATTCATCCTTGCTAAATTTTTTAACAAAGTTCAAAAAAAGTTACCAAAATAGCAAAAAGAAATTGTAATGGCGCATTGCAATTGAAATCATTTTTCTTTGTTTATATGAAGAAACCTGTAGAAAGGGACAAAAGAGAAGATCATTTTTCAATCAACTTTGCCGTAATTCTTAACAGAGTTCATAAAAAGTCATCAAAATAGCAAAAAGAAATTGCAATAGTTATATGAATCACAGTGACTTACAGTAAAGATTAAGCTTCATGAAACAGGAAGAGTAAAATTTTGAGGAATGAAACACACTTCATAAGAAGTCTAATTAATGTATTTGAGTTCGACTCCCATTAGAGGAAAAAACCTACAAATAATAGTGGTAGAAATAGAAGTTTTGCTTTCGAAAGAACCAAATGTAATGAATTCAACCATTCCAGCAGGTTTTTGAGTTGTGGACTGAGAGGTGCAACAATAGTAATATCGCATTGCAATTGAAATCAATTTTCTTTGTTTATTCTTTCTTCTTTTGGTGCCTTGGAATTAAGCGTTGGATTTTTAAATGTGAGAATAAAAAATGAAGAGTTGTGACTTTTGTGAAAAAATTGTGATTTTGATGAAAAATTGTGACTTTTATGAAGAATTTTGACTTTTCTAAAGGATTATGACTTTTCTGTAAGGTTGTGACTTTTAAGAAGGGTTAAATAAGAATCCTAATCTGTGAGGGCGCCACATAGGTGGGTCGACTGTTGTAAACAGGCGGCAACATTTATGAAGAGCGGGAAGAGTGGTAAAACAATGAACGGGAGAAACAACTGTTGAAGGCTGAAGCAGTGTTCCTATTGCAGAAGAGAAGGGTATTTTTGGAAATAAGTAAATAAAAAGAGAATCCTTGCTTCTGATGGCGCCACATCATAGGATTGAGGGTTCTCTTTATATATATATACTAGTAAAATGACGGGAATTTAAATCACGGAATTTATAAAATAATACTTAAAACCTATCAGTCATTAAAACTAAACACTATATTATCTTACATACAAGATTACGTAGCAACAAACATTAATAATGTAAAGGAAAATGAAAATTATTACATCTTATCATTTATCCTTAATAACATAAACATAAATTAATGACTGTAAAAATACATAAAGGATCTGTAACATAAGCAATGGTGTCAGTGAGCCACTCAACATGAGCAAAGTACATAAATATTTATATTTAATTGTGAATAAGAAGAACAGGTTCAAAATTTTCGTTGTTTTAAAAGGAGGGGAATTCCCTCTATTTATAGACAACAAGGGGCAGTGTGAACAAATGTTAATTGTGCCTTATCGGAAAGGTTACAACTATTTGGAAAAGTTGCAACCCTTCGGAAAAGTCATAACATTTCATAAAAGTCACAATTTTTCATAAAAGTCACAATTTTTCATAAAAGTCGCAATTCTTCATTGAAGTCGCAACTCTTCATTAAAGGGGAAGGCTATTTTTGTAAATAAATAAATGAAAAAGGAATTCTTTATATATATATATATATATATGATATGATATGATATATATATATCCCTGCTCCCTACCCCACAAAGGTATGGACCTAATTTGTATACGTTCTATCATTTTCGAATTCTGATCCACTTATGAGATTAAATTAGATATATTGTCGTCGGTCGTTGTTGTTATATATTCTTTTGTTTGCAATTTTTGAGTCATTGAGTATGTAATATAATGACGTTAAAATTAATTACGTATGCAGTATAACGTGGCTATCTTTTTTAGTATTAATGCATTCATATTTGATTTTACCTCGTGAGTTTAAAAAAAAAATCATAAATAACTGCCTTTGACTAAATATTCGTTGGAATAAGTATCGATAGAAGAAATAAATTCAGTCAACATAAAAGTATAAGATAAAGTATTTCGATAATCAATTAATTGAACTTTAACTAATACTTTAAGATATTTTTAATGTAATATTTAGTCCTATTAAAAATTTGACGATTAATTAATTAGTGAAATGTATGAAACAATATTGGGAAAAAAAATTAAATTTAAAAGATATTTTATATGCCACTTTGCCAACTTGTATATTTGCTATTAGATTGATCATCATCAATTGCAACTAGTATATTTTCATCACATGAATTACTACCTTTTTGGCTTTGAACATTCAAAAAAAAAAATGTCAAAAAGATAATTTCTAAGAGTCAATTCAACATTCTTAGTATATTATTTCAATTACTCGTTCTATCTTAGTTTATGTGACACTTTTTTTTAAGTTAGCCCTCAAAAAATTCTCTATTTTCTTAATGAGATGATAACTATACAAATATATAACGGTTATTTTAGTCACAGTTTAATTTCAAAAATCTTCTTTTCTTAATTTTAATTTTGTTATGACATTATCAAGGACATGACTCTTGATAGGAAAGAGTGGAGGTTCCGTAGTATGGTAGAAGATTAGCAGGGATAGAGTGTTGTCTTGCCTTGCAAAGGTTTAGGCTTGTTAGTGTTTGTCGTAATATCGTATTAGTCGTACCATTATAGTTCTGGTCATATAGATGTTGTTTATTGTACTTCGATTATCACACTAGTTTGTTGTTGTTATTGTTCTTTCTTGTAGACTTCAATGTATACTACTTTCTTATTATATAAGTTATAATTGCGATATCTTCTTCATTGTTTTCCTCTTCTTTTACTTGGGTTTGATGCACTTGAGTCGAGGGCAGTGGCAGAGGAAATTTCACGAAGAGGGTCCAAAAATTAAACAGCAAAAGCTCTTGTTAAAAGGGGGGGGGGGGGGGGGATTGTACGAAGATGGTCCAAAAATTAAACAACAAAAGCTCTTGTCAAAAATGGGAAAACATTGTTCCAAGTGAGATTTGAACATGCGAGCACTGACTTATTAAAGATGTCTAAACACACATTCAAGACATCTAAAATCACTAGGCTATAACAATCTATTATGTCAAGGATGTCCAAAATATGTTATTAAATCACTTCGTGTATCATTATACTTGTATATACCGTATTTTTTTTCCGACGAAGGGTGTCCAATTGGTGTATACATATGCCTACGCCCCTGGTCGAGGGTCTTCCGGATACAGTCTCTCTACCTCCACGAAGTAGTGGTAAGGTTTGTGTGCACTCTACTCCTCAGACCACAGCTAGTGGAGTTTCACTGTATGTTCTTGTTGTTGTTGTACACTTATAGACGATATTTTAGTAACCAAACAACTTATTCTTAAAAATTACGCGATGTATATTATTTTTAATACAATAAACCAAAATATTTACTAAAAATAATACAAAAACGAAGTAACTAATCTTAGTATAACTAATCTCAACATAATTAATTTCATCATAACTTATACTACGAACCAAACTATCCAAACGGAACTGCTCACTCCTCTCTATTTGGCTTCCTCTGATGATCAGCAAATCAATTTTTTTTAAAAATGATTAAAATATTTTAACTGTAAACTGCCGCTAAATGCTATACAACCGTCACTAATTTGTACATTAGTCGAACGATAAAAAATAATTACATTCACTAATTAAATATATATATATAGAGAGAGAGATTGAGCTCTGGATTCGCGTTGCGTAGGACTCGATCTATTTAGAGGAAAATCTTCTTTATCAAGAATTTTTTAATACTCAAAGCTCAATTTTACTCAGTCCTTTAATTAAGAAAGGAGCAACTTTATTCTCTGCGCCAATTTTCACTAGTCATTACACATGCATGTATATAGTTGAATATGCTTGAGAAACTTCCTAATAAGCTAAGAAGTTTCTTAACATGCTGCAATAATAATAATAATAATAATAATAATAATAATGTGTGAAACAGTATTGGAAGGGAAAAAAATATATTGTATATGCCATTGCAACTTGGATATTTCTTATCACATGAATTATATTACTACCTCTTTTGGCTTTGAAACATTCCAAAAAAAAAAAAGTCCAAAAGATAATTTCAAGAGTCAATTCAACATTGTAAGTATACTTTTCAATTATTCACTCTATCTTAGTTTATGTGACACTTTTTTTTAGTTATCAATCCCAAATAAGGATGTACACTTGTCTATATTTAGTATAATTCAAACTTAAACTTCCTATTTTTTTCGTAACAAGATGATTTACAATCACACTAATATATATATAGCTTGTTTTAGATCACAATTAAATTAAATGTCAAAAAATCTTTTTTTCCATTCTTTAACTTCGTGTCCAGTCATCCATCACCAATAATATGTCTATATATATGTCATGTCTAATGAAATTGCATAAAACAACTCAACAAGAGTCTCTCTCCCTCTCCAAACCTAACGTGACAGTTTTTCATCATAGTAATTAGTTTCTCTCAAAGAGCTAATTCGTTTAGAATTCAATCGACGTCAACTGTTTTTTATATTACACATCCTCCTTTTTTTGTCCTCCAAAAAGTCTTATATTCAATTGATTTGTTGCAAAAATAGCAAAAAGGAAAGACTATTTCACTAGAAGCATTGGCTATGAGTGGAGGTGATTATATTAAAGATGGAGTTAATATGGAAGATTTTGAAAAATATGAAGAACAAATCCCTCCTCATTTGTTAATTGATGAAAATGATGAAATTTTCTTCTCAAAAAAGACAAATATGCCCCAAGATTTTGTTATGATTATTCTTTTTGTTATCAAGAGATTCATAGATGTGAGAATGATGAAGAGGGGCAAAAGAGACCTTTAATTGAAAACAATTTATTTTTTTTGTGAATTCTTGAAAAAGATGGATATAGATTATTTTTTTAGACTAGTAGGAATA